CACTTGATGGGTAGCACAGGGGTGGCCAACCTGTGGCATATGTACATGGGCAGCCTCTGTGTGTGGTACATGGTAGATCAGGGAGGGGGTAGGCAGCACAATGGGAACATAATTCAGAGCAGGAGAAGGGGATTGGAGTAGCACTTGGGGAGGGTGCAGGAGTAATTGTGGCATCAGAAAGCTTGGACCTTACCGGGGTAGCATCACAAGTCAGATCCTTGATTGCAATTTCATACTTGGTGTCCCCTAAGTAGGAGAGCCCCTTAGTCCCTCGTATAGATTTTATAGATACTAGGGGCTGGAAGGGACCTCAAGAGATCATCAGGTCCAGCCCCCCCCACCATAGGCAGGAAGTCAGCTGGGATCAAGTGACCCCAGCAAGAAATAAATCCAGCTGTTTTTTGAAGGAATTCAGAGTAGGCGCTTGCACCACCCGTGTGGGAGTTTGTTCCAGACCCTGGACACGTGCACCATAAAGAACTTTTTTCTTATATCCAGTCTAAATTGGCCTTCCTGGAGTGTATGGCCATCAGACAAAAATTCTTTTCTACACACTAAGTCCTCAGTAGGCAAACTTGGCAGAATATATTTTATTGGGGTCCTTGGGAAGTAAAGAAGCAACTGGAGCCATAGGTCAATTTACACTGAAGTGGCTGCTTCAGTCATAATGTTTCAGGCTCCCCAGGGAGCAATAGCTGGACTGTGGGATCTGCACAGTAGTAAATCCACTAGCGTGTTCCAGGTCTGCCTGCTTTTCTAGTGCCCAGTGCATGGGGTGATTGAAGAAGACTGGGGGAAGGTCTGTCCCAGGGTGGAGGGGGCGAATAGGGGCAACTGCCCCAGGCCCTGTGCTTTGGGGTCCCTGCAGAGCTGGGCGGAGCAGCCGTGGAGAATCTGTGCTGCTGCCGGCTTCACATCCAGCTGCTCGGCACCCCCCACCCCCTGCTGCCGAATCCAGTGCTTCTGGCTGCTTGGCATCCTTCCCCACCCCCGCTGTTGAATTCACTGCCAGCTTCCTCGTGTCCAGGGGTGGCCCCGCACAGGCTGATTTGACCCAGGCCCCGCACCCTGCTCGGGTCGCCTCTGACTGGAGGAGCTTGACTTCATGATGGCCTGGGGGTAAAGAATTACTGGTATACAGCATGGAAGTTATTACAAGAGTTAGTGCTTCCTCTGTCCTGTTCTGCCTTTGAGCAGTAATATTGCTGTTTTTGATGGTATCTAATCTCCTGGTCCAGGCTGGTTTTCCCTAGAGCAGACATGTTGCAGTGTTTTATGAGCCTAGCACAAGCAGGGCTGGAGAGGAGGTGGAGTCCAAGTGTCCCCATGTGATTTGCAGCATGTGGGATAGAAGTTGGTTTATAGCTACTTGTAATTATAGTTTTCAGCTGCAGTGTGTGTACCTTATCTTCAGTCATCCTCAGGACAGATTCATGTCCAGTCATGTCAAGCCATGCCTTTAGAATTGTGGGTTGATTACGTGATCCTGGTTAACTCACACTTTCCATATCTTGAAGCTGGTAACGTAGCCTTTGCACATTCAGTGATGTTGAAAAAACATCAATTTTTGCTGGGTTAATTTTCACGGTTGCCTATTTTATCTTGTCTGTTCATTTTCCTTAATGATGCTCAGCATGTTGCTTAGTGTGTGCAGATTGTTCCTCCTGCAGCATGCAGACGTGCAGTGATTTCATGTAAGCAGAGGTTGGGAAACATTATTTTGGAATAATTATTCTACTGCCTGAATATACAAGGTGGCAAAGGGAACATTAACGTTTCACTAGAACTTGAAACTGGCAAGGAGAAAACATGGTTGGGTTTCTAAAGAAAACCTATTATTACTCCTGATTACATCAGGCTAAAAAGAACTCCTGTATATGATTTTCAGGATGCTGTCATCTATTCCTGCCCTGCATTACAAGACTTTCTGTCTCTCTCTTTGATGTGAATACATTTGTAACTTGGCTCCTGATGCCCATCAAACCTCCTTATAATCGTGTTCATTCTAATAATACCATTGATAACACTAAAAATGGCTGGTTCCCTAGGATACAATATCGTAAAAGTTTAATGAAGCATCTTCCCTACTATGTGTCACAAAGAAAACTTGTCAGTGAGAAGTTGGGTACAGAGGAAATGTTTTGGGCACCACAGCTTTCTTCCAGAGGGAAATAAGATAGGCAGGGGTGGAAGGAAATCAGGGGAAACAACCATCTCAGCAGTGTTAATGATGCGCACACAGACAATGTGTAAGTGCTGGGGTGGGGGGGGCACAACTTCACCCTGCTGTTAGTACAGAAAATCTGAGGGGGCATGTGACCCTGCGGCCTGCTCCCCTCACCCACGTGTCACCTATGGATGCACACACAAAAAAGTGCTTTTGTATATGAAATGCAGTAGGGAAGTTCTGGAAGAAAACAAAGGCTGCAAACTAGAGATTCAAGTTAGGCTATAATACAGAGGAAAGATTGTAAGGTAAGAACTGGAGAAAGGAAAGCCCTCTCATATATGATCTGACTCATGAATTGCACATGTAGAACAGATATTATGAAGAATAAGTAGACAGACATGGTCATGCATGGAAGATTAGAATGAACAAGAAGTGAATCTGGCACATCAGAATTCAGAAGGAAAGTGAGGCAGGCTCATAACATTTTTGTGGAAGAGGAGGAGAATTTTGACACCAGAACTAGTGAATGTTATAGAGAATTAGCATTAATAATCCTGCTTCCTGGAGGCACCTCTCTGGTGGTAGCACACTGGACACTTTCCTCTCTTTTGTCCTCTAATCTTCCTAGATTTCAATGGCAGGATGCTTCATTACTGCAACCACACAGCTCCCCACTGAATGTGGCAGCATGTATGTGCTTTGGTCCAAGTTGCATTTGAGGTTGCCAAGAGCCGGGGTGGGGAAGAACTGAGTGGCAAATGTCACCTATCTGGAGGCAAACTGCCCGGTCCACCCATCTCAAAAAATGACCTCAGCTTACCAGAGAAGCTCGAGTAGTTTCTGTGTCAGGTTGCTCCTTGAATGTTCACATGAGGGAGCCTGTTTTGGAGGTAAACTCATTCCTCATCAAACTGAGCTATCTTGTTTTACTGCCCTGAATCCATATGCTGAAAGTTGGGTTCAGGAGACTTGCAACAGAACCAGTTGTGCTGCACGGTAAAAGACAAGGCCAGGGAAAGCCCCATGCTCTGGTAGGCTGTCTCCAGAACACAGGATGCAGGAGAAGGCTGGTGATTTTTATGCCCTAGTAGTCCTCTCCAGGGCATGGGCAGGAAGAAGAGGCTTAGTTTAGATCTTTCAGGCTCCAAATATATGAATTTAGCCTGCTTCTAATTTCTCTAGACTCTTCTAGGTAAAACTCAATTGTATTTTTTTGCTCAGGGTGCTTGTGCAATGGATGACTTGCTCTTTGTCCTAAATGCAGCACTATTTGCTAAGGAGAGGAGAAGGCTGATGCAGGACCTCAATGTACCAAAACATCCTGTTGTCTGTTCTTTTCACAGCCTTGTTGCTCTGTGAAAATCCTTTTTCTTAATCCTTGGTTTAGGATTGCCTGGGAAAATATTCTAATGAGCACTCTAATGCTGAATGAGAGTCTCCCTTAGGGAGTGGACTGCTACTGCACTAATGTTATGCTCATTATGCCGTGTGCTTCTCACACCCCAGAGTGCTAAATGTCAGGAAACACAAACTGCCATGATGGGCCTAATCCTCATGAGAAGAACTAAACTTTAATCATGAAGTGCTCTTAATCTTTCAGGAAAGTTAATTTATTTATAGTTCCTTTTTTGTTTCATTAGTTTCAGAGAGAATTCAAGTGACTCCCTGCTCTAAACATTACACATTTCCATTTTTGTTCTAGCATCCACATGTCAAAGCCAAAATCAAGCTTTCAAGGGAAATCTAAGAAACAGAAGCAAAAGAGATAAGAAAGCCCTGTGAAGCACTGATGGTGACAGCCCATCTGACTTCAGTTCATCTGAGACCTTCCTATTGTGGATTTTTCTCACCTTCACATAAAAGGTACAGTATCTGTTACAGCCACATATGTCTGCTCTAAAGATGGATTCCATTGATTGCTTGAACTTTGTGTACCTGATCTTGGTAGTGTTTAGAAGTCCACAGACAGACAAGATGTTCTTACTATTCATGCCTCTCCTACTCAGCTGCTGGATGTTGCAAATGTAACTCAAGCCTCAAAGATTTAGCAATAAAGGCCTGCTCCTACAGGTACCTACTACCAGCTGTAATGCTGACTCCTGTGAGCTGCCCCCAGGGTTTCAGTGAGATTGCTCACTATTATAAAGTTTTTTTCTGCTGATTTGGGTCCTATTTGAAAAAAAAAATACATTCAGTGGAAGATGAGAGGAGAGTCAATGTACCTTAGATTAGATTACAGGGAATTCTAGAGTTTTGTGTGTGTAAATTGGGTTGGATAGTCATGATAACTCTTGCTGGATTAAGTTTCCTTCCCTTGTTCATTCTTCTGTCTCTTAAATTTTTAATACGCTTACATCACTTATTGCACTGTATTATACTGTATCAATCCTATGCTTCAGGGCTTCTACCAGTTGTCTGCTGGGGCCAGGAAGAATTTCTGTTTTGTCTTTTCCCCCTGTACCTTGAATACATTATATTGCTTCCAGTTTATTTTGTCTCCCTCTGAAGGACTAGACACAAGCCATTGCTAGAAGTGAGTTTGGCTTGGGTATGCTGGTGGGTCTAACTCAGAAACTCAACTAGTATAGGTCCTAGTATAGGTCTCTGGTGATGGGGACGGAGCTGACAAGCATCCGCAGACGGTGGCAGTAGGGGCAATGCTGGCGAGCGCCTGCAGACTCTGCTGGCAGTGTTGGTGGTGGGCTGCAGATGGTGCTGGTGGTGTTGACCCTGTCTGGGGGGGCACATGCCCCCTGCCCCCATGCCCCGTATACCAGTCACCTGTAAACTCAGGGGTGATCATCTTGTGGCCCATGGGCCAGATCTATCCCCTAGCACCATGTTGTCTGGCCTGTGAGGCTCCCCAGAGATCTGTGGGGAGCCCCATGAGCCATGGCCCTGCACGCTAGATGGGGCACAGAGGGCACTGCGAGGCCTAATCATAGCATGTTGTGGCTGGGCAGGGGTGGTGCAGGGCCCCTGCGCATGAATATCACTGGGTTGCAATCTGCAGTGGTGAAAATGCTTTCAGAACATGGAAATATGCTTATAAGGCGTGGATGTGACATAATAAACTGTTGGTCTCAGGAATGCTGAGAGAGATGCTCCCACTGTTTTATCTGCTTGAGTTTTCCTGAAGCCTGTGATGTACATAGTAAGGCAAAAAACAAACAACCCTTGCCCCCTCAAAAAAACCCACCCTTATTAATCTCAATGTCCCCCTGGGCACATGTATAGACATTCCTAACACAGAACCTGGTTTAAGATAAACCTGGATGGATATATTATCAGACTTAACTGGTTTGGGTTAAATCAGTTTCTTGGACTTCTGTTCCACATCCCCTCCAGATTCAAGTTAACTCACTCCTCCAGCATCTCAGGATGCATTGCACCTCCCTTGCAAACTCCCCCTTGCATGGTGGGTAGACTAGCCTTGGCCCAAGCTGTCTGCTCCAGCTGAGTAGGGAGGCGTGCTCTAGTGCCCCCCAGCTTCTGGCCTGGGTCACTTCGGGCATGTGGCTGCATTTCTAGAATCAAAAGTAAATGTCTGTTCACTTGCTTATCAGTTCAATCTATGCAGCTTAGAGTAAACTTAAAAGATTGAATCGATTCAGCCTTAGGCTTTCTAACCGTCTATACTTAGCCAATGTGAATTTCAGTCTATGCAACAAGGCTTTGTGCTCAGTTAGGCTCCTGACTACTTGTAGGATAACTACTTATATGAGTTTGTGGTATGTTTGCTCAAATTCAGGAATTATTGCTCTGCCTTTGCTTGATGGGAAATAAATACAGATCTAGTATTTTCCAAAGAAATACGGGGTCTTGCTGCAGAATTCAAAACTGTTGTGTTGGAGAATATGTGAGATCATGATAATACCTGTTTCCCTTGCCAACTGTGGGGGTTAGGTTCCTGTGGTTGTCAAAATCACGGTTGGTAAATCTAAAGGCTTATGGGGAAAAGGGGGTTAGGGACTTGAATACTGTATAGTATAGAGTATAAAAATCATTTTTACTTATAGCACACTGTGGCGTTTCCCCGCCCCCACCTGTCTGAATGGTGGGGTGGGAGAGTTTTGTGCCGGCCTCTGGTGGCGCGTGATTGGCTAGTCAGCAGCCTGCAGATGGGACCCTGGCTAGTCAGCAGCAAGATGTGGACACAGGGAGCAGAGGCTGAGCACAGCTGCAGCTGGCCCTTGCCCTGTACAAAGATTGGGAGCCCACTTCCCTTCCCCCCTGCCCCCGGCTCCCTGGCACTGCGCCAGCTCTGGAGGAGCTGCCAGCCTGTGCTGGACTCTTCCCATGGATGACTCGGGGCAGGCATGGGGGTCCTGGAGGCTCTGTCCTCTCTGGCCCAGTGGTGCAGCAGAGGCTGGCCCTGGTCCGGCCCCTGGCTCTGGGCCCCAGGCAATGACCCCGGGTGCTGGAGAAGGGGCAGGCACAGCAGGCCCCAATCCCGATCTCAGCACAGCCCAGCAGCTCCTCCAGAGCTGGCACGGTGCCGGCGAGCCAAGGAGTGGGGGGCAGGGCACGTGGGCCTCCGATCTTTGTACGGGGGCATGGGCAGGCTGCAGCTGGGCTTAGCCTCTGTTCCCTGCATCCACACTTCACTGCTCCAGGCCTTCCCCCCAGGCCCTCTCCCTCCTCCCATCCCTTCCCTGAAGACTCTCTCACCTTGGGGGGAAGTGCACACATGCTCAGCCCCCCCAAATTTTTTTCCCTCCCTCTGCCTATGTGGCCACGGAAAACCATGGTTACTCAGAACTTTATACCATGGTAGCCAAAATGGTATACTGAATATTAACTATGGATACTCAAAACTGTGGCTGGCAAAACCATGGTTGGTGAGGGAAACCTGTACACAAGCTATTGGCTTTGTTTGCTGGGAATGATTCTCATCTTCTGGAATTGCAAACTCACATTTATTGCTTGTATGTTTGTCCTTCACTCAGCTGTGTTTAGGCTGTTGTTATTTTACATGTGCAACTGGGGCTGCAGCACATTGAGCTAGGGCAGCAGAGCCCTGGCTGGCAAGAGGTCCAGGGGGTTAGCCTGCCAGCCCCGGAGCTGTTTTGCCTCAGGTCAGTGTGCTGTGGAGGGGTTAGCTGGGGCATGAGGATGCTATAGTGCAGAGCTAGCCAGCAGGCAGCCCCCCACACTGTAGCACTCTCATGCTCCAGCCAGCCCCAGTCACTGTCTAGGCATGCGTTGCAGCGCACTAAATAACTCCGTCATAGGACAGTACTTGTATTGGGCGGTACTATCCTACAGCAGAGTTAATTAGTTTATTCTGGCCTAATTGTGCCACACATGTAGATGGTGACACTTTACTGTGAAGCTAATTAGTTAACTCAGCAGTAAAGTCCACGTGTAGATGCCCCAGTGAAGAATAAGCAATGTAGTCCAAGCAGCAAAACCTAACTGATACCATCTTATGATTCAACTTGCTATGCACTATACATCTATCATTCATATACCGGTTGTAATGTATAATACAAATACAATACAAAAGCCCTACTAAAATCTATTATGCCCAAAGTCTTAAGAACACCAAAAAAAATCCCCAAAAACAAAAGGAATTAAATTGGTTTAGCTAACTTCCATAAACTCTGTCTGCTTCTGACTTACTTGCTAAGTACCCTTTAGAGTAGTTCCATAATTTTACCTGAAACACAGTTTAGACTAGCTGGCTCATAAAATCTTTGCTCACATGCATTCCCAGTTTTAAAACACTGCAGCATTATGCTCGGAATCAACAGAGCTTGCCTATAGAGTGTGTTCTACCTCTTCTAGGTACGCACTAAAACACCTTCTTTAAAATCACTGAAAAAAGTTTGAACATGATAATTAGCCACTTTTCTGAGCTTAAAAATTTCCTCCTCCATCCTGGATTTAGCTCACTCTTCAATAAGAGCTGATTTTCTAACTATGAACACTGGGGCTAGGGACAGACATTCAAAAAGCCTGAGCCTGAATTGAGTCAATCGTTGCAGGTTAGTCCAACCTGCAAAGCTTGAACTGATTTGAGGTGGATAGACATTTCTTTTTCATTCCAGAAATGCAGGCACATGCTTACAGTGTAAGCATGTGCTCGGGGGCACTACTGCAGCCCTCCCTTCCAATCCACAGAGCTGAGCTGGGGGTGAGCGGGGGGAGGACGGCCATAGCCAGACCCTGGCAGGATGCTCTGATTAGGGAGGGGTCCCCTCCACCCCCCAAGCAGCCCAGCAGGGAATGTTTATCACCCCTAACTCATGTTTATCACCCCATTAAGGAACCAGAGGGACATTACCAGCTATCTGTTGATGTCCTGTGTGCCACAGCTCGGAGGTAGCCAGCATATTGTCTGCTAGCTAATGCTGAGAGGTGTCTGTGAGGGATGGGGGACTGCCTGCTTAGCGGGAGCTTCAGGCAGGGAGCAGAGGGGAGGGGCCAGCTCTGCTGTGGAGTAGAGAGCCCTGCCCAGCCCAGAGAGCATGCTGGGATGCTGGGGGTGTCTGGTTTATCTTCAGCCAGCAAGAGGTCTGGGACAGACATTGCATAAACTTGTTTGACCCAAATCAGTTAAGTTTAATACTACATTTAACCAGGTTTATCTCAAACCGGTTTCAGTCATTTTCAAACTGGTTTATGTTCACTGAGCATCTGTTCTGTTACAGGTTTAAACCAGTTTCTGATCACTTAAATAGGTGTATGTGTAATGTCTGTCTGTCCATAGCCTATCAGCATACAAGTTGTTCATTCATAGATGAAGGGTTGATAATAGTTTGTGCACTTTCCCATGTGAGGTAGGAAACTGGGGAGAAGAAAAGGTTGTTCAGGAGACAGGGACTTGCTCACCAATTTCAAATTCTGGCAAACAGCTC